ATAACGAACTACAACCCCGAAGACCGAGCAGCCAAGAAAAAAGATATGAAAAGGGAATGATGAAGGAGTGACGAGGGGTAAGTACGTGAGTGTGTGGCCAAGGAAAGTTTCAACGAGAGGCGGGAATAGTAGAAATACAACATGTACAGCGTGCAAAGCAGATAAGTATGGATACAAAAAAAAACGGAAAGGGTGGGCAAGCAAGATACTTATGCACACAGGGCGGGAGACCAAGAGGATAGATATCGAATGGAGGGGAGCAGAGGTAAAGACAGACATTTGGTATCATCAAGCAACAGTGGGGGATCAAGAAAATCGAGGGGAAAGTAGCATCGGAGGAGCGAGCGAAAAGACATCGTCAAAAGAGTGAGGCTCTAGACGTGGGTATGCGCGGAGAGATCAAAGGGGAGAACAACAGAACACTAAACCAATCACCAATCACGCCGTAATACCGCGCTCTTGACGAAGAAAGCACTGCTGAGGTGGCTGAATTGTCGATGCCTTCTCGAAATCCTCCGAGTCCTCCATCTCGCAGAAACTGACCCCATTTCCCTAAAACAACGACGCCCATATGTAAACAAGCCAAGAGACAAGCAAATAAAACAAGAAACTTACGTGCTCGATCTCATCCGAACTCCGATCATCACGTCCTGGCTTCGACTTGCCAACCGGGCTCATCTCCACCTGTTCCTGTCCACCCTTCTCGATGTCACGGTCGTTATCGTACTTGTGCATTGTGTCGACGTGGATGGAGATCCCTCCTGCAATGCGAGTCGGCTGGAATAAAGATGAAAGGTAAGTGAACGAAGGGATGCACACAACTGGATGACAGTGCTCACCAGAGCAGTCCCCATTGTCGGCATGTCATGAGAGCCAAACATGCGACTGGTACTGTTGCAGTCGTCGCCACTATTGCGGATGTACGATCGCGCGTTCAGAGTACACATAAGGGAGTTGGCATAGACTGCTCGGGAACGGCATCAGTCATTGATGGTCCTTGCGGCACACGACCAAAGAGACAACTCACGACGTCCGATCGTGAAGAAGAACGCGATGTAGATGAAGGTAGTCGGGGCAGCCAAGATCTGGAATGTCAACGATCAGATTAGATTACTGGTCTGAAACTAAGTTTGAAGGTACTCACCGAGATCAAAGACCCGACAGCGCAGCATCTAATTGTAGTGTAGGTGTCAGCTGAATAACCTCGTGGTACAGAGAAACAAGAGACTTACGTCGTGAGGAGCCCAGTGTTGACGGTGAAGTGGATCTGCGCCACCCGGGGAAGGGAGGGAGGAGATATGGTACTTGAGTAAAGAGCCAAACGGGAAAGAAGAGGTAGGACTTACGAGCTTTGTGATAATAGCATCGGACCTGCGAAGACAGGCAAGGACTGAGTAAGGCAGTACGGACGGTGTCAAGGGAATTACGTACCTTTGGAAGCCGGTTCGGGATCGGTGAAGAAGGAACGAGAGGGAGCCAGTTATGTATACATCCCCAGCGGCGGCAAGGGCATTGACAAGAATGGACAACCACTGAGGTTTTGTTAGGAGTGATGGACTGGACGTTGTGACGACTGGAGAGGTTTTGCTCACCTTCATTGTCGCAAGGTCGGCGAAGGTCCTAACAAACACAAGACTGCAATAGGTTAGTCAAAAACTAGGTCGGAGGAAGCAAGTTGATAAATCGAACAGAGAACGTACGCTTTGATTCCGAAAGCTTCAAGTTCGAGAAGAGAGGCGAGCGTAAGTCGCGGCGCTGGAGCGGGGCTCGAGAATGAAGTACTAACCAATGATGCATCCTAAAAAGTTCATATTACTACACATTCAGACAACGAAAGAAATTGGGCAACACGTACCAAATTCAGCCAGAACCAACAGGAACGCCGGAGCAGTCAACCAATAATTACGCTTGCTCACTAAAGAATAGGACATGACAATAGCAAAGTGTCAGGGTTACGGCGTCCTTGATGAATCCAGAAGGAGGAGATAACGTACAAAGCCAGACGCGCCATGTGAGGAAGCTAGAAGACGAAACAGTCAGTGCGGTTCTAGGTTAGTGGGATATGAAGTCGACACACCTCTGAACGAGGAACCCAATCAAACCCTAGCGAAATGGTCGGGAGGTTAATGTAGGTAAAATATTGAATTGGAGATGGACTCGCATTGAAGAGAACCTCCGCCTATGATAGCTCGGATCAGAAACATAGCGGGGGACGGTACGGGTAAAACATACCAACAGACTCCTACAGACGACAGAAGATTAGTAAGGAAAAATTGTAGTTATGTGACTTGGCCTTACCAGACAACGGTGTTGAGCGCAAGGGGATCTCCGGCATCCAGAACGAGGTAGGTATAGACTATGATGGGTCGTGGGTAAGTAGCCGTGAGGGAGAAAGATGGTGGCGGGGAACAATTCGTACTTGTGTGGCATATGAAAATTTGATGAATCGTGTCGAAGACGAAAACAGAGCCAACCTGAGGGGGGCCGGTGAGCGAACTATTCGACACGGGGAAAACAGGACTTGCCAGAGATTTCATGCACCAACCATCGTGGCGTTCACGCGGTGTCTCCGATGGTTTGACGACGAAATAGATGTACGTTTGGATTACAGATACTAGATGAAAGATATGTTGACTCTTGAGTATGTTCGTTTGGGTGTTGCGCGAGATAGCGTACTCACCTCCGTAGAAGCTGTCGAGTTCAATGTCAGGGCTTAGGAAACGCGACGACGAGATGATCTATCTTACATAGACGCGATTAAGACCCCGACGAGGGCAGCACCAAACCTGCGACAGCGGAATGCTATGTGAAACGTCGACTTGGAGAGAAAGAGATTCAAACACCCACGTCAATTCCAAAATTTTCTTGGGCGGCATTCCTGGCACTTGACCTTGAGACTCGAGCAAGGAGGTGAAGTTGAGGGGAGAGGCGGACATTTTGGATCAACGCGGATGGGGAGAAAATCGCGGGGAATTTTGAAGGTTGGGATAGGAAGAGATAACTGAGTTGAGGAGGAAGCCATATAAATATTGTCGGTGTAGATATCTGTTTGTGGAGGTGGGAAGGCGTCACATAAGCTTAGGCACGGTAACTCATTGGGGTCCAATCCTTACCAAACTGGGATTCACCAGAGCTTCTGCGACTAGTGCTTCCTGCGTTCTGGTTTTCTCTGCACACTGGTGCTCGCCCCTGAAGAAAAATTTCGAGGTTCTAGTGGTAGGATCTTGTGCTTGATCTCACGGTGCGATCTCGTTCTCAGTTTGCAACACGGCCTGATTTCTTTGCGATTTTCTCGCATTTTCCAGTGCCTGAGAAGTCTTGTGTTGAGGAATCTTGAGCCTGCCATGTTCGCGAAAAGCTTTCCGATACATTGTTTGCTTGAGATGACGGTCCTGGCCAAGGTGAAGTCACAACATCCGTGACGGTCGCCGTGACCGCCCGGGTCTCTTTCGTTCCACTACGTTGGATCAGGACTATTGGCACAATTTCATTCTAGGTCTCGCTGCTCAAAGCTTCTCGCACCGGGAAAAACGACTTCCTGAATGCATCGGCGGTTCCGTCTAGGCTCCGGAAGCTTCACTGCGGTTCTCTCAAAAGATTTCTATCGGTGCCGGCGGTCAACCTACAACCAACTTCAACCTTCGAGCTCAAGATTTTGTATGTACACATATAGTTCTCACTCTTCTGCGCCTCTGCGGTAGATACAAGTCATCCTCTGAGGCTTATCCAGAGCAGTCCCATCGGCGATTGACTTTCCAGCACCTTTTCAACATCTCAAGTTCCAGATACGGCTCTAAACTGAACTTCTGGAAGTTCTGAGTCGGGCGCTTCACGACGTTGGAACTTCCCATGGAAAAGGTCGTAAATGATGTCAGCCAGGCTGATGATCGTTGTGAGGGTAGGTACTCAATGGGGACCCTTAGGGACAATGACTTCGCTTGTGCGTAGTTCATGACAGTACATATTTCGAGTTGAAAACATGGTTTCTTAGGCTTTCTCATGAACTCCGCAGGGTTTGATTAATAGAGATGTATTTACGCCCAGTTTGGCACGCTGGATCCGGAGACGCGATGAAGCGAAGAAGTTTGATCCCAAACTCGTCGCGTGAACGATGGAAATTTTTACTATCCCCTCTCAGTTCAATGTTCCATGTTGACGCCACATATTCTAGGGACGTGACCCTGCGTGCGAGAAGAGGAAGAGGTTCAACGTGTCTGGCCTCATTTTTTTTCGCATCTTCCTGGAAAATTTAGCTCCGGATGCGACACGCGAGGCGAGGTACGCTCAACCTTCGGTGCTTTGAGGATTCCGGTACTCTCAAGACGCGTCAAAGCCATTCTCCGCGCGCTTCTGTCCATCTGATGTAGATATACTCTTACTAGTCAAGGGTCTCGCACTTGCAAGCTCATGATACCCTGTTTCCAATGTACCCTCTCACAGGAGAGGTCGACAAAGTCATCGGGCCCCAATAAATCAGTGAATATTCCTCTTTTCGTTCATCTCCAACGTCACTCGTTAAAAAGCCCGAGCCATGGCCAGCGGCCATCAAGAAACCACCCGTGATAGGAATGGGACACTCCAAATGCCACATTCGCTGGGTTTGAAAGACCCCTAATACTATGTTGCACTGACTTGGCGCTACTGGGCAGCAATTTTTCTTTTTCATCGAGATTCGGGATCCCCGGGGCTCATCAAAGACCGCTCTTTCCCGAATGCGATTTTCACGGCTGGAAGAGAGGAAAGGATTCGTAGGGGTTCCGGAATTCTGGCCGAAGACCCGATGGGGCTTCTTTCCGCGTTTTGACTTTGACTTGGGAGGCTTTGGGCTGTTGGACACCCGGGGTACGCGCACCATGTAGTTTTGGAAAGAAGTTTTACTGCAATTTGTAAAAAACAAATGGCGATTGTGGGAGGTTAAGAGAAGAGGCATCAGGAAGGACGGGTTCGAGAGGGAACGATTGGAACTCATGATAGATACTGTTTGGATAGACTTAAGTATAACACCGTTGGTGAAGTGGTTATCATGCTTGCCTTCCATAGACGTCCGATTTGTTTAGTGTAGCAAGCGGCTCGGGTTCGATTCCCGAACGGTGTATCATCGATCAATGGAGTTGACCGAATATTTTGCTCCTCGTTCATGCGCACAGGTACAGTACATGAGACACATTCATTATCGCGCCCGGCTCGCACTTGAGACTATGTACGTAGCGGAGTCAGCAAACTGGATAGTTATTCTTGGAGCTTAACCATTAGCGTGTAGGAAACCCCAGCAAACTTGGCAAGTTGCCAGGCGAGCTACTCTGAAGTTCTTACTACTGATCCCTTCTCTCTTTGACCGTCATGAGCCCACAAACCACGGTCTCGCAGAGGTATTTAAACTCGTAAGTTTGTGAGCTATTAGTTCCACTCTGTGGAAACTCGAGCTCACAGATCCATGATTCCTCAAGGCATACAATCTTTTCACTTTTACAAGTCAACAAGACTATGTCTGACGCAATACAACCATCTGTGCACCTGGCAAGAAACGGTGTTTGAGTTGGCGATACTCAGGTTTATCATCGGTACGGAGACGCGCTAGGTTCTCAGTCGAGTTGTATGAACGAACCCTACATATGCACACTTCAAAAGCTTGAATCATTCTTCGGATTACCGCCAAATTATACAGCCATGAAGGCGGCCAAATAACTCACCGTTCATTCAACCTTCGTGGTATGGCCAGGCATCAGAGGGGCTCCCGAATCTCAGCCACAATGCATCGAGAGGATTTTAGCGTCGGCGTCGACATCTAACGCCCATACATGTGGACCCACAATGAGTTCGACTGTCCTCTGTCGTATCATCGCCTGTTTTACACTCATCATTTGTGAAATTTTCGTGGTTCATTCGAGGTTAAATAAGAGAATTCTTCGTGATAAGCGTAGACAACAACTTGAACTGGCGTCGATAGCGAGACGTTTGTAGCGAAAACAATGCAGAAAACAACGATAGCAGGGTAAGATGCGCTTGAATATCCTCAAAGCAGAGTGAAGTTATACAGTAGAGTAGGCAAAAATGCCAGGAAATGTGATGGATACAGAAAGATAGCAATAAATCGACGTGAGTACGGAAAGCATCTCGGAAAGCGAGGGATACAGTGGCGGTAAACAGCAAGTGGGATAGCAGGGATGTATGGATACATAGCAAAATCAGATTGAAGGATACGGGGAGAGAAGAGCAAAATAACACAGCGAGCGACGCGATAGCAAAAGGCGGAGGGATTACGGGGAAAACAAAGGAACGGTTACAGACATCCTAATGTCTATGACCCTGAGCTCCCGCGATTTTGAGGTAGCAAATGGTCGAGAGAACGGCGCCTGAGAGCTGTTACGACGGTTGTGAGCTTTAATAATCGAAAGAAAAAGGAAATGATGTGGTACTTACCGAGTCACTGGCAGTTCGCCGAATGGCGGTCAGTCGGATGGGATTCGGATTCGTTCGGTAAAGATGATGGCGGGACCTGAGTATCGTCTTCCTCTTGACTTGAGAATTCGACGGTTTCGAAAAGTGATCCTCCCGGATACTGTGGCTCCTCCTGATCTCCGAGTCTTGAAAGGTTGAAAGGCCCATTGGTGCCTTTCGAAGCGGGAGCCATATGTCCTCGGGCAATCTCTTCCTCTCTTACCGTGGCGTCACGACCAGAATTCGGACCGCAATGATGACACTCTAGCCGGATTTCTTGAGGGTGAGGAAATAGCACCATTTTGAGGCGGCACATTCTGAGATCTCGATCGATTTTGTGGGATAGAGGGAAGCTTCCATGGTGCCAGCCTTTGGGGGTGTGTAGAGAAAATTCAAACCGATAGAGAGGAGGCGAGACAGGTTGACGTGTAAGTGGCTCCTGCGTTTCTAATTGCTCGGAGTGGTCATGACCCGCCCCATCACGAAGATAAGTGACCTCTAACGAATCCGGGTGCAGGTAGGGAATGGCGTCCCCCTGGGTCACTTCGGGGCCTGCTCCTGGCCTGAGGCCCTGCGGTTGCTCCTCCTGCTCTCCAGATCCTGGTTCATCGAAAAAGCCGCTAATATTGCTTGAAGCGCCAATGATACGCTCTTGGGCCGTTCTATCCCCTAGTCCTAGGGCGACATGCTCAGGATTTAGATCAATCCAATAACGTTCGAGTGAAAGTTTGCGGGTGAGAGGAAACAGGAACATTGTAAGGTTGTTCAAGTCGTTATGTCGAGTGGTTTCGGGGGAGAAGATGAAACTCCCATGTTGTAATCCTTCTGGGCCGTATAGAGAGAATTGGAATCGATAGACAGGAGTCGGGACGGACTGTAGAATGAGTTTCCCGTTTGTCTCCAATACCTCGTAGCCTGGCCCATCGGAGGTGACAGAAGGCATCTCCGCCGAGTCCTGGTGTTCGGAAAGATGAGTATCTTGTTCCATCACCTTCTCCGTTTTCGCAGTATCTGGCAGTGGATGGCGACCTGGTACAGTGCCAGAGCGGCTTTGCTCTGTCGCTCTCCCCCCTCCTGAAACAGAGCCAGAATTGGGATGAACGCCATCAAGATCTTCATCTGTGGGAATGAATTCGATTATCAGGTCCCTAAACGCAAATTGTTTGCACTCCAGAGCTTCGATATGGAGCGCATAGCACCCTGATGTCACTTCCGGGAAATCATCAAATTGGAGCACGTCAAACTCCTTTGAGGGTTCTGCTATCCGTTGCTTTCCTCTGCCAATCTGTCTTGGGCGTGTAGATGACGGGTGAGGATAACGAAGTAGGTGAGCCGTGAGGGTAACTCCATCGGGGCTCACAGGACTGGCCGACAGGACAGGGCGAATTCTGCCGCGACGAGGAATCCAAACTTGGGCCGCAATGGTCACTGGGCTCTGCACCAGGATGTCATGACCTTGAGGTAGGAAAGACGTCTTGCCCGGAAGCAATAGATCCTCTGCTTCGGCCTGTTGCTCCTTCCAGTCGAAAGCGTAATCTAGTCCGAAGCTATAGTGAAGCGTTGCGAGGGCGGATGCATTCCTCCTCCACGCCTGCTGGTTAGAAGTGATGACGGGCTTCAATTCTAGCATGAGTTCCTTCAGCTCTACCGGCGCAGCCAAGTCGCGGGAATAGCACCTGTCGAACACGACAAAGATAATGGTCTGTTTCTCTTTTAGGAGAGTCAATAGATCAGAAGCCATGTCAAGGGTGAGACGGTAATTCGAGAGGACCAGTGTTGTGAGGGTCGGCGGTAATAACTCCAGGGAACATAGAATGCCAAAGACCGTCTCCCAAGCAGGGTAGGACCCATGACATAAAGCCAGGATCTTTACTAAGTGAATCTGTGCTGGGAAAGCCTCTGCTGTGCCGGGAGAGCTTATGCACGTGTATGGGGGAGAAAAAAAAGGAGAACCGGGGCCAGCAGGATCGATGCGACCGAAACGGGGAGGTGACGGTCTAGAGTGAAGGCGTTCGATGGAGGAGCCAACTGAACAGACCAATTCAGGGTAGGTGTGGAGGTGCGTCCGAAAAAGAGAGACAAGACCCCCCAAGAGATGATCTACGCCGGTAAATGGGGTAAGCTCATTTAGCCTGTGCAGAGGCAGAAAGTCGTCAGGACACCCTTTGATGACCGGAGTCAGTAGCTCTTCCCAGCGTCGCAACAGCGGGCTATTCGCAGGAAGAAGCCTCAACGAACGTATGCCACTCCATAAGGATTCCCATGATTCGCTATACTCCCGTGTATTCCCGTCGCTACCAGTCCTCTCGAGAACGGCTTCCCTTTCTGATGACAGCCGCGCCTCCATCTTCTGTACCCATGCTAACGCAAGGAAATGAGAGATGGGGTAGGGAAAGCCTGCACGCTCTACGAAGCGCTGCTCCATTATACAGAGATAGATTTCCTGCATGGCGCTGTCGAACATCAACACATACTCTGCAAATTTACGGACCATTCGGCTTGGGAGGCTCGCCGTAGGGAAAAGTCCACCTGCCTCGTTTCCCCTCATGAGACAGTGATCGCCCTTCAAGTCGCATAACTGGCCAATTCGCATATACTCCTGGTCGAGAGGCGACAGGGGAACACAGATATTTGCGGCAGTCGAGGCGATCATAGAGGAGGGGATAAGTGACCACGACATGTGAAGGTCACGAGGCGCATCTTGCGCAATCAGTTGGCGGAGCAAAGCATTCGAGTATTCGATAATGCGGTCAAGCGTCTTACTGTCAAGAGCTGCCATTGCCTCGGCTATGTCGAGCTGCTGGTCGAGGGTGACTTCGAAACCACGCGAATGAGTAAGGTGCCGGCTATGAGAACGAAACGCGCAATGCCAGGCTTTGCCACCGCTGAGTAGGAAAGATATAGAGTCCAACCCGGCACCCTGTGGCATAACGGTCGCGCAAAGAAGCTTCTGTGAGCTCTCAAGGGAAACTTCTGCCAGGATCGCATAGCAGATAGATACGCCGTCTGCTTCAATGCGTCGTAGCGGCCCGACGTATAGGCTGGCAGCGGCGAGAAAATCCTCCGCATTGTGGGCAATAAAGGACTCCCTCCCGGTGTCCTGGCCTCTATACTTTCTCGGAGAGTCTTCTAGCAGCCGGTGAAGAGCGTGCGGAGAGGTGACGAGGGGAAAAGCTGGAATGGCAGCCACGGGTTCCTGAGATTGACTCGTTAGAGTTGAGCTTGGCTCAGAAGTGGAATCGAGTCCAAAAGGAGATTCAGTCGAATCCTTGGTCTCGGCATCCTGGGCGTAAGGTTGGGATTGATTGAGTAGTTCAAACTGCAAAACTATTCCGGTGTTCTTCTCATCCCAGAGGGGGTTTGACCCCCATAGAATGACGCGTAAGATAGAGAGAACCGCTTCCACTCCAAACCAGACATAAGGACCGTTTTCCGCTCTCGTTTGGCTGACCAAGTTAAAACACCCCACATAACCGGCCACTATCATCCCCATCCCTACTACCAGCGAAATCTGCACGATGGCCAAGGTAAGGCTGACCGAGAGCGGTGTTGTGATATCCGCTTCATATCCATGCGGCTGCTTCTCAGCTGCAGAGCCTTTCTCGAGATCCAAAGTACGTTGTTCAGCGGCCTCCGATGCGAGAGTCATCAACCGCG